GCGGCGCTGGCGACTCGAGCCCAAGAAGAAGCGTCGACCCTGAACACGGTGAGAAGAACAGAGGAACAGAGGAGCTGAGGAGCTGAGGGATCCACCGCGCTGAGATGTTTTAGTTTTGTTTCTGTCTTTGTCTCGTCGTAAAGTAAATCCAGAAACGTTTAACCTCGTTTGTTTGTCGTTTGTTTGTCGTTTGTTTGTCGTTTGTTTGTCGTGTGTCGTTTGTTTGTCGTTTGTCGGTCAGAGTTTGAACGACACGGAGCGAAGGTTCCAGGAGCTGAAGCAGAAGCTGGACTCGTTTGGAGGAGAAGGTCTGGACATGGTCAGTGAAAGAGCGGAGAACATGAAGAGAGAAGCCGAGGAACTGCTCAACCAGGCCACCAGAGGAGTGGAGCAGCTCAAGAGTAAGAGACTGGACCAAGACCGGACCAGGACTGAACCGAGACCAGACCGAGACCAGACCGAGACCAGACCGAGACCAGACCGAGACTAAACTGAGACCAAACCAAGACTGAACCATAACCAGCCCACCAGAGGAGTGGAGCAGCTCAAGAGTAAGAGACTGGACCAAGACTAAACCGAGACCAGACCGAGACTAAACCGAGACCGAACCAAGACCGCACCAAAACCGAACAAAGACCGAACCAAGACCGGACCAGGAAAGAACCAAAGCCGAACCGAGACCAACACAAGATCGAACCAAGACCGAACTGAGACCAACACAAGATCGAACCAAGACCAAACTGACACCATTGAACCAAGACCAAACCAGCACCAAACCAAGACCGAACCGAGACTAAACCGAGACTAAACCGAGACAGATCCGAGACCGAAACAAGACCAAACGAGGAAAGAACATAGACTAAACTGAGACTGAACCGAGATCGAACCGAGATTGAACCAGGACCAAACGGAGACCAAAGAGAGACTGAACCAGGACCAAACGGAGACCAAAGAGAGACTGAACCAGGACCAAACCGAGACCAAAATGAGACAGAACCGAGACCAAACTAAGAGACCGAACCAGGATCAAACTGAGACCAAAGAGAGACCGAACTGAGACCGAACCAAGACTGAACCATAAACTGTATTTTGTGCGTTCTTTGTGTGTGTGTATTTTTTGTGTGTTTTTGTGTGTGTTCTGTGTGTGTTTTGTGTGTGTTTTGTGTGTGTGTGTGTGTGTGTGTTTGTGTGTGTGTGTGTGTGTGTGTGTGTGTGTTTTTGTGTGTATTTTTGTGTGTGTTCTGTGTGTGTGTTTTGTGTGTATTTGTGTGTTTTGTGTGTGTTTTGTGTGTGTGTTCTGTGTGTGTGTGTTCTGTGTGTGTTTTGTGTGTGTATTTTTGTGTGTGTTCTGTGTGTATTTTGTGTGTGTGTTTTGTGTGTGTGTGTTCTGTGTGTTGTTTGTGTGTTTGTGTGTGTGTGTGTTTTGTGTGTGTGTGTGTGTGTGTGTTTTGTGTGTGTTTTTGTGTGTGTGTGTTTTGTGTGTATTTTTGTGTTTGTGTGTGTGTGTTGTGTGTGTGTTTGTGTGTTTTGTGTGTGTGTGTGTGTGTGTGTGTGTTTGTGTGTGTGTGTGTTGTGTGTGTTTGTTTTGTGTGTGTGTTTGTGTGTGTTTTGTGCGTTGGTTCTTAATCGTTGTTGTGTGTATTTTGTGTGTGTTTGTGTGTTTTGTGTGCGTTGGTTCTTAATCGTTGTGTGTATTTTGTGTGTATTTTGTGTGTATTTTGTGTGTTTTGTGTGTTTGTGTGTGTGTTTTGTGTTTTGTGTGTTTGTGTGTGTTTTGTGCGTTGGTTCTTAATCGTTGTGTGTATTTTGTGTGTTTTGTGTGTGTTTTGTGCGTTGGTTCTTAATCGTTGTGTGTATTTTGTGTGTTTTGTGTGTGTTTTGTGTGTGTTTGTGTGTGTTTGTGTGTGTGTTTGTGTGTGTTTTGTGTGTTTTGTGTGTGTTTTGTGTGTGTTTTTTGTGTGTGTTTTGTGTGTGTTTGTGTGTTTGTGTGTTTTTTGTGTGTGTTTGTGTGTATTTTGTGTGTGTTTGTGTGTTGTGTTTTGTGTGTGTGTTTGTTGTGTTTGTTTGTTTGTGTGTATTTTGTGTGTTTTGTGTGTTTTGTGCGTTGGTTCTTAATCGTTGTGTGTATTTTGTGTGTTTTTGTGTGTTTTTGTGTGTGTGTGTTTGTGTGTTTTGTGTGTGTTTTGTGTGTGTTTGTGTGTGTGTTTTGTGTGTGTGTTTGTGTTTTGTGCGTTGGTTCTTAATCGTTGTGTGTATTTTGTGTGTTTGTGTGTGTTTGTGTGTTTTGTGTGTGTTTGTGTGTGTTGTGTGTGTGTTTTGTGTGTGTGTGTGTGTTGTGTGTGTGTGTGTTTGTGCGTTGGTTCTTAATCGTGTGTTGTGTTTTTGTGTGTTTTGTGTGTGTGTTTGTGTGTGTGTTTTGTGCGTTGGTTCTTAATCGTTGTGTGTATTTTGTGTGTATTTTGTGTGTTTTGTGTGTGTGTTTTGTGCGTTGGTTCTTAATCGTTGTGTGTATTTTGTGTGTGTGTTGTGTGTGTGTTTGTGTGTGTGTGTTTGTGTGTGTGTTTGTGTGTTTTTGTGTGTGTGTTTGTGTGTTTTGTGTGTGTTTTGTGTGTGTGTTTGTTTGTGTGTATTTTGTGTGTTTTGTGTGTGTTTTGTGCGTTGGTTCTTAATCGTTGTGTGCTGTTCCAGAGTTGGAGAAGAAGTTCCGCAGTAACGAGCAGAAGCTGCAGCGTCAGCGATCGGAGCTCGAGGAACTGAGAGGAAACGTGACGTTTGTGAGAGACGAGATCAGAGACCAGGTCCAGAAGTACAGCAGCTGTGCCTGAGACCGAGACCGGACCAGGACCAGGACCAGGACCAGGACCAGAGACCAGACCAGACCAGAGACCAGACCAGAGACCAGACCAGAGACCAGACCAGAGACCAGACCAGAGACCAGACCAGAGACCAGACCAGAGACCAGAGCAGAAACCAGGTCCAGAAGTACAGCAGCTGTGCCTGAGACCGAGACCAGGACCAGGACCAGAGACCAGAGACCAGACCAGAGACCAGACCAGAAATGCAGCAGCTGTGCCTAAGACCAAGGCTATGACCAAGACCAGGATCAGGACCAAGAACAGGACAAGGACCTGGATCAAGACCAGAGACCAGGTCCAGAAATACAGCAGCTGTACTTAAAACCAGGACCAGGTCCAGACCAGAGACCAGAGACCTGAGACCCGCACCCACGCCTACAAACTGGACCAAAACTGGACCAAAACTGGACCAAAACTGGACCAAACAGACCCTGGATCCTTGGTCCTGACGCAGACGGACCGAGTCTCAGCGTCTGGTTTTATTTTAAAGTCTGTATCTGGTTTTGGAGATTTAGTTTTCAGTTATTTTCAGTTTGGTTCAGATATTTTTGAGTTTGAGTTTTTTTGTTCGTGGTCGATCCTGGAACTTGTCTCCAAATGATTTTATTTTATCACAATTATTACTGAATTAATTATAACTCCAAATCAGTGATATTATAATTCTTTATTTTCTTCAAATTTTAAAAATGTTTATCGTGACCAAATATTTTAGATTTTTCCCTTTTGTCCTCGTGAGACTCGGAGCTTCAGACGAGCTGAACCTGAAACACGTTTTCTTCTTCAACATGAAAATAAAAATATATCTGATGTTTAAAGTTTGGTGTTTGTGTTTTTGTTATGAGACTAAACCAGGACTGAACTTCAGAAGGTTAGAAAGAAGAAACTGGAGAAAGATCTGAGAAGAACAGTTTGAGGAACAGTTTGAGGAACAGTTTGAGGAACAGTTTGAAGAACAGTTTGAAGAACAGTTTGAGGAACAGTTTGAAGAACAGTTTGAGGAACAGTTTGAAGAACAGTTTGAAGAACAGTTTGAGGAACAGTTTGAAGAACAGTTTGAGGAACAGTTTGAGGAACAGTTTGGAGAACAGTTTGAAGAACAGTTTGAGGAACAGTTTGAAGAACCCTTTTTTATAGAACAGTTTGAGGAACAGTTTGAGGAACAGTTTCAAGAACAGTTTGAAGAACAGTTTGAGGAACCGTTTGAAGAACCCTTTTTATAGAACAGTTTGGAGAACAGTTTGAAGAACAGTTTGAAGAACAGTTTGAAGAACAAGAACAGTTTGAGGAACAGTTTGAGGAACAGTTTGAAGAACAGTTTGAGAAACCGTTTGAAGAACCCTTTTTATAGAACAGTTTGAAGAACAGTTTGGAGAACAGTTTTGAACAAGAACAGTTTGAGGAACAGTTTGAGGAACAGTTTGAAGAACAGTTTGAGAACAGTTTGAGGAACAGTTTGAACAGTTTAAGAACAGTTTGAAGAACAGTTTGAGGAACAGTTTGAGGAACAGTTTGAAGAACAGTTTGAGGAACAGTTTGAGGAACAGTTTGAAGAACAGTTTGAGGAACAGTTTGAAGAACAGTTTGAAGAACAGTTTGAGAACATTTGAAAACAGTTTGGAGAACAGTTTGAGGAACAGTTTGAAGAACAGTTTGAAGAACAGTTTGAGGAACAGTTTGAAGAAGTTTGAAGAACAGTTTGAGGAACAGTTTGAGGAACAGTTTGAAGAACAGTTTGAAGAACAGTTTGAAGAACAGTTTTTTGAAGAACAGTTTGAGGAACAGTTTGAGGAACAATTTGGAAAACAGTTTGAAGAAGTTTGAAGAACAGTTTGAGGAACAGTTTGAAAGTTTGAGACAGTTTGAAGAACAGTTTGAGAACAGTTTGAGGAACAGTTTGGAGAACAGTTTGGAGAACAGTTTGAGGAACAGTTTGAAGAAGTTTGAGGAACAGTTTGAAGAACAGTTTGAAGAACAGTTTGGAGAACAGTTTGAGGAACAGTTTGAAGAAGTTTGAAGAACAGTTTGAGGAACAGTTTGAGGAACAGAACTTCCACATGTGCACATTTAGGTCCAAAACATTTTGGGTTGTTCATAAATATTTTTTGTAAATCATTCTGTTAGCAGGATCCTTTTACTCTGTTGTCGTGAGCATTAAAACACAGTTCACTTCGTTTTCTCTTTTTGTGTGGTTACCACATTCTCCACGGACACACACTTTTATTCACAGGTGCAGGTCATTCATCATTTTGTGCGTCACGTGATCAAGTGTTCTTACACACCATTGGTTCAATCATAAGTCTCTATCATAATACAAATAATAAAATGAGGGCACAACACAACACCCCCAAATACATGACTATACAAACACAATCAGGCCTCTACACCTAGAACATGTTTATCGTGCACCAAACATAAATGTTTCAAAATTTAACAACTTAAGTTTGGTTGCTGGTTTCGTCATTACATCCGCCACCATCTGATTAGTTCACTCCTCTCTTCTGACTCTATCCTTTGGCAACATAACGCGCCTTGTATTTGTCAGATCCATCATTGTTCTTTTTGAGTGCATAGACCCATTTACCCCCACTACAGCTTTGCCCTTCAGTAATGTGCTCAGGGTAAACGTTACATTGTCTTTTAATGACTGCATCTCTTCATCCATAGCATTAACCCAGTCTTTTGCATCTGGTGAGGTACCGCTTCTTTGTATGTTTGAGGTAAGTTACATAATAGTCTATAACAATAGTCAATATTGGTCTCATCATCCTCAAAACCACAAACATAATCATCTAAATAACCAGGTCTCTTCCTTTCTCTCGCTGGGTATCGCCTCTGCTCACATAGATGTTCCCCATTTTCCTCTTTTGGTGCCTGTTCCTGTTCTTTATTCACCATTTGTGTCTGGTTATCACTTTGCTCTTTGACGTCTACTTGTTTTTCAGTTACATGTGGACTAACAGGTGGGGTTTTAATTGTCCGTCTGTTGACCACAAAATCATCTTCATCAGCATCCAGCACATCTGTGTCCGTTTTGGATATAAACTCCACAAGTCTGTGTCTCTGTACTTTTCTGTTGCTGGGACAGTAACACCAAATAGGCTGGACTATTCTTGTCATATCTGATAAAAATCCCTCTCACATCTTGTGTCCAACTTTCCTTTTTGTTGATGTTTAAATGTGTAACACAATTGTCCAAACTTCTGCATCCTGGAAACATTAGGCTGCTGCCAGTTAACATGTAGAGAGGAGTCTGTTTAGTGCGGTTGCTGAAGCACCTGTTCCTCACTACAGCTGCAGTCTGGACAGCATAAGTCCATAACATCTTAGGTGGCCCACTGTGAATGAGCACACACCTGCCATGTCACACAGAGTTCTCCAGTTGCGTTCAGCAGTACCATTTTGATGGGGACAGTATGGGGCTGAGGTCTCACTCCGGTTCATTAATGCTTGGTCCTCTTTCCCAGTGTCCTCTGTACCATTATCTGATCTCATACATTTCACCTGCCCATAAGGGGCCATATCAGCTAGAAACTTCTCAGTAGCTTGTACTGTGTCACTCTTATTGTTCAGAAAGTATACAAACACTGCACTAGAAGAATCCTCTGTAAAGGATAGTGTGTCCCTATGACCTTCTCTGGACATAGGGTCTACAGGACCAGATAAATCTGTGTGCACCATTTCCAGAGGTGCTTTGGCCCTGGTATCCGACCCTCTGTTTCTAGTTCTGAATAAACTTCCCCTGTGTGCAGATTTCACAGTGTGGTGGAGTTTTATTTCCCTCATTCTTCATCTCCACACCACTTACAACATGCTTTAATTTCATGATATCTGCAAAATTGCAGTGTCCTAGAATTTCATGCCAAGTCTGCAAATCATGACATTTGTTACACTGGTTTTCACTGTCACTTTCTGACGTGTGCAGATACAGTTTGTTGTGTACATGTATGGGACATTTAGTGCCTTTTAGTCTTTATGTAGCAGAACGTTCTTCTTCTCACTGAAGATCACCGTGGCTCCACACGTGGTGGCAGCTTTCACAGAGAACATATCCTGAGGATGAGTTGGGATGTACAAGGTCCTCCTCAGCGTTGTTTTGAGACGTGCCCCCTGCTGTCGACCAACCACACCTCTGCGTCGCCTCTGTGCTTGGCGACTCCGTTGCTCCTGGTGCCATCCGCTCCACACAACGCGTCCCGGCCTGGAAACTGGCATCGAACCTCTTGAACTTGGCGATGTCTGTGATGATATGTGACGTTGCACCCGCATCCACCATCAGACCTTTGCTTTTGACATCTGGCACCTGCATCTCCGAGTCACTTATTCTTTGCTCTCCGCGTCGGACGCTGTGCGTTATCCCGCTGCTTCCTCCGTCTACACGTCGCATTGTTGTGCGTGTTACTTTTACAGTGACTGCACCACTGCCTTTGGCTACGTGGCCTCTGACACCACACTTATAACACTCAATGTCCGTATTGCCACTGTCCTTTGCGCTCTCTGGTGCGCGCCTTGTGCCAAATTGCGCTCTCGCCTTCATCACGTTGTCCTCAGACACAGTTGCACGCATATTTTCAATGTCCTCATAACTCCGGAGCTTTGTCTTAAACTCCGCAAAAGTCATTTTATCTTCACTCTGAGAAACATGAATGACAAATGGTTTAAATGTGTCTGTCAGCCCCTTTAAAACCACTGCTGTCAAAAGTCCGTCACTGAGCAGTAATCGCGTCTCTGCTCTGATGACATAGTGACATTTTCCATCGGTGACTTTTGTAGAGACGTTAATTCAGTGAACAAGTTTATCACCCTGGGCTTCCCTTTGCCAGCGTAATATTCCCGGAGAATCCTCAGCGCCTCGCGCATCACCGGCGACAGGCTCTTGTCATCCAGGAACTGGATAAGCTCCGCATTGGCCTCAGCTTTCTTCTCCTCATCATCTTCGTCGTCAGGACCAGGTGATTGTAAAATAGTGTCCTTCAATCCTTGGAGACGGAGGTGGCCCAAAAACTTTGTCTCCCACAGCTCGTATCCTTTTTGCCCCAGCGGCTTGGCACAGTGTCCTTTTCTCTGTTTTTACTCATGTTTGCGGTCAGTGGCTGAACTCAGGTGCAGCATTTACCGTCGCGACATTCACCTGGAGACCGATCCTCAAACTGCGTAAAATGACTCTGGGCCCAGAACCTGTTTGCAGGATCCTTTTACTCAGTGTTGTCGTGAGCATTAAAACACAGTTCACTTCGTATTCTCTTTTTGTGTGGTTACCACATTCTCCACGGACACACACTTTTATTCACAGGTTCAGGCCATTCATCATTTTGTGCGTCACGTGATCAAGTGTTCTTACACACCATTGGTTCAATCATAAGTCTCTATCATAATACAAATAATAAAATGAGGGCACAACACAACACATTATTAAATTGTGACTTTATTATTTCCATCAAAATGATTCAAACATCAGGTGAATGTTTTATAAATCGTCTGTGGACAGAGAATCGTAAAAATATAATAAAAATATATAAATCTTTGTTTTTGCCTCGTCAGGTCCAATCAGCTCAAATAACAAACAGACTCAATAAAACCAGAAGAGTTCAGGCTTCAGGTTTCAGGAGGAGGTAGAAGTGACGTCTCCTCTGATGTTTCCACCAGGGGGCGACACCGGACGCTCCTCACACCTGAGCACCGACACTGGAGTTTATCAATGAGTGAAGACAAACTGAGCTCACACTCTGAGGTCCAGTCCTGGTTCTGTCCTGGTCCAGTCCTGTTCCGGTCCTGGTCCGGTCCTGGTCCGGTCCTGGTCCGGTCCTGTTTCAGTTCTGACTCAGATCCGGCTCGGGGACAAAGGCGGACTGTCCCGGAGCAGCTGGGAATGTGCCGGGTCTCAACTGTTACCATGGAAACACAAGTCAGGAACTGGAATACAGTTTAGAATATTCCTCTGGACTAAACCTCGACTGAACCAGGACCAAACCAGAACTGAACCAGGACCAAACCAGAACTAAACCAGGACTAAACCAGGTCTTGTTTGTGGGTAAAATGAGTAAAACTTTTCTTTTCTTGTTTTTTTTTTTTTTTTTTTTTTTTTTTTTTACAGTGTGTCCTTTTGTTGTGAGTCATTTTTTTTTACAGTGCACAGTCTGAACCAGACCAGACCAGACCCCGGACCACCTGGACCCAACAAGACCCATAAAACAGGTCTTTATATGGTACTAAACCAGGACTAAACCAGGTCTAAACCAGGTCTAAACCAGGACTAAACCAGGTCTAAACCAGGTCTAAACCAGGTCTAAACCAGGACTAAACCAGGACTAAACCAGGACTAAACCAGGACTAAAACCAGGACTAAACCAGGACTAAACCAGGTCTAAACCAGGACTAAACCAGGACTAAACCAGGACTAAACCAGGACTAAACCAGGACTGAACCAGGACTAAACCAGGACTAAACCAGGTCTAAACCAGGTCTAAACCAGGACTAAACCAGGACTAAACCAGGACTAAACCAGGACTAAACCAGGTCTAAACCAGGACTAAACCAGGTCTAAACCAGGACTGAACCAGGACAGTCGAGGTCCGAGACCAGACCGGGACTGAGACCAGGACTTAGACAAGGACTGAGTCAAGGACCAAGACTGAGACCGGGATCAGACAAGAACTGAGACCAGGATTGAGACCGGGACCAGACCAGGACTGAAAACGGTTTAATCCTAGTTCAGTCCTGGTTTAGTCCTAGTTTAGTTTCCTGGTTTTAGTTTCCTGTTTTGTTTAGTCCTGTGTTTTAGTTCCTGGTTGCACAGACTAACTACTGGTTTTTAGGAGGGGGGGCGCGGACATTTCATGCGAATGAACTAACTACAACACGCAGCAGCAAGTGGACTCTTTCTTTGCATTGAAAATGACGTTTTCAGACATAGGATATCACATTCGTGTCCTGAAAAACGTTTGTCTCACTCTTGGAAATAAAGTACGTTTTCATAATCAGCAGAAGTTTCCTGTCCAGGAGTAATTTGTGGACCAGTGGTTCAGTCTTTAGACTCTTCGTCTGCTTCAGTCGCGCCATCGCTGGAATGAATCTCCAAGAATCACCTTAGTTTGTCTTCGCTGCTTTTCCCCTTGTCTTCTTCTTTCACCTCAAAAACGGACTTTCTTTTGCGGTGAACTGCTCCTGGATTCTTGTCGCCATCGCAACAAACTTTGTGTGAACTGTGAGGAAGATATAGGTGAAAAAAAGCCGCTAAGAACTGTTGCGTTGGTGGAGTAAACAGCGTCTGTGTCGTACGTAAACCACGTACCGGCGGCGCAGACAAGTCAGTTACACTAGAAACGTAGGGAGTTTGATTGACAGCCTGTCAGCTCACAGATAACGAGGCAGTGTCGTTATCTATTGGCAAATGTTTATCTGGCCCCACCACGTCCAGAGTTGATGAATTTTTATTCTCTTTTTTTTGGTCATCATAATTACAAGGCGACTGCATCTATAATCTATCACTGACAATTTGAAACAAAAAAAATCCTCCATACAACCTTTAATGGCGTGTCCCTATTGACCGGAAAATACAGCAATCTTAAAAATATAAATAATTATAAACATTTTCTTGTGCAGTTAACTTGAGACTCTACAGTGAGAAGCACCACCAGAATTAATGCTTTGGTCGAGAAACTGTGGAGTAAAGGGAGTCTTCATTTTGGGGCTGAACTACAGCGTACAGCGCTGCCTCAGCCCGTCTCTGGGAAGCGCCGTTTTCTGACATATTTTTGCTGTTGGTAAAGTCCACTTCAGTGTAGGTGACTTGGTCTATAGATTCCTCCACCTGGAACAAAACAAAAGGTAAACATGAGGTACATTTTGAAGTTGAATCGAGTGTATGTGTCATTGTCATTGTCGGTCAAACTGTAAATAAAAAAGTGTATGACTGAATTTGTTCTTAAAGGGCTCATAATTCACTATTTTCTGATTTGGTTTATGTGTTTTGTCACGTTTAGGCTGCGTTCTTTTCTCAGACAGAAAATGCTCTTCTCCACCTTGTGACATCATGTGGTGATACAGGAAGTGCTTCACTGTGTTTTTAAACTCCATACACCTTCACTAGAATCACTTGGATAATTTCAGCTCTGGAATTGCAAATCTAGGGAAACCGGCAGGACTCATAACAAACACAAACACAGCAACGAATACAAACGTGGCAACACAACAAAAAGTCACAAGAAACCAAAAAAGTCAGAGTGGAAGAGATCGCGGGACTATTTTAATGCAATTGCCACGACGCAAACGCAAACGCCACAACAAACCAAAAAGCCGCAACGGAAGTGACCACAGGACTGTGTTTTCCAACGGACCAAGCAAAGTGTTCAAGGATCAAGCAGGAAGTGAACGGGAAAAGTTGGGGAAGAACAAGAATGTGAAAAGTAAAGGAATGATGGTCTGACCGTCGCTTGGTCCGTTGGAAAATGGAATCCCACGGTCACTTCCCTTGTGGATTTTTTTTCGTGTGTTGTGGCTTTTTTTGGTTTGTTGTGGCTTTTTGTTGTGTTGTGGCATTTGCATTTGTGTTGTGGTGTTTCTATTTGTTATGTCATTTGTGTTTGTTATGAGCCCTTCCAGGAATCTCTATAAACTAAATGTCGCTGTTAACTTGAAAACCACCACTTCAAGACATCACAAGGTGGAACAGAGCATTTCAAGCCTAATAATAAAGGTTTCCTCAAACGTGTGAAGAAAGCATAACTCCAGGTATGTTTTTGAGGAGGTAACATTTAGTTATTTAGTTTATGAGAGACGCATTGTGCCAGGTTGTAGCACTTAGAGCTCATTTCCACCTCTAGTCCCTGGTGCATGTTTTTCTAGGTTTGACATAGTTTCAACATGGTTAAAGGTCATAAGAATCCACTTTGTGTAACTCAGGACCTTTAAGTATCTCTCAGGGGTAAAGTCATTGTCTGGAAAGGGGAAGATAGCATCACATCGTTCTTCTTTCTGTTCCTTTTCATTTGTGATTAGTGATGAACTTTATGACATGTTTGAGGCCTTGATGATATTTTATGACTTAAATAAATTATTAAAATAAAAAGCAGTAAAATGTAGTTCAACGACTCCCTGGTCGTGCAGCAATAATATGTAACAGCGATGACCAGTGGTGCACTAAGACCTGAGTGTCAAAGTGTGAGGTTTGACAACTTGTGAACAGAGACGGTTTAGTTTAGTTCAACTGAGTTTAGTTTGTCCAAATAAAGGTTCTTTTGACAGACCATCATTTTATTTACACATAACTTGACAACCTCTGCGTCCTTCTACAGACGGGTCACGTGATGTTACAGTGACGTGTTGTGCAGCTGATTCATCAGCCGGTTTCACTTTGTAGAAACAGTCTAACCTTGCAGCATTAGAGTGTGTTCGCTCGACGGTAGGCAGGTACTTTTTTATTTAACCAATTGCTTTTATTTGGTTGTGACGTTTGTAATGCGCCTCTAACGGGGTTAACTGGTATATTAAGCTTTTTCCAAATCCCGTAGGAAGAAGTGCAATAATGTCTTTCCCCTTGATAAAATTCACCAAACTTTTTTTTTTCCGGCTTTAAACCTTCGGTCTCAGGAATAGTTACCAACACAGAATGTATGTCTTCGTCTATATCCATCCTCGCCTCTTTGTTTATTGTTGTGTTGTAGCACAAAAGGGACCCAGACAGGGTCAACAGCTCTTTGCCGTCTACAACGTCCAGGGTTCTTCCAAACGTCTAGTGTATTCTGATTCCTGACCTAGTCGATGGAGAGAAATTAAATTGAGCACTAGGTGGCGTCAGCCTGGCTACTACTGCCCTCCGTCTGGTGGTAAATCCTGCCCTTGTATTGAGAGTGTTGAACCGTACCCACTGTCATGTCCTCCACAGCTTCTGTTTGTTTGTTTGTTTGTTTGTTTTGTCTGTTTTTTCAGGTTCTGTCTGTCTGTTCTGGGTTCTGCATTTTCATTTTGTAAGAGTAGCTCACCAGAGGAAAAATGTTGGAGACTCCTGACCTACTTATTTATCCTAGCATTAGTTCAGTTTAACTGAGTTTAGTGTAGTTGGTAGTGTAGTGTCGTAGTGTAGTGTTGTAGTGTCGTAGTGTAGTGTCGTAGTGTAGTTGGTAGTGTGTAGTGTCGTAGTGTAGTTGTCGTGTAGTAGTGTAGTGTCGTAGTGTAGTGTCGTAGTGTAGTGTCGTAGTGTAGTGTGTAGTAGTGTAGTGTCGTAGTGTAGTCGTAGTGTAGTGTCGTAGTGTAGTGTAGTAGTGTAGTGTCGTAGTGTAGTTGGTAGTGTAGTGTCGTAGTGTAGTAGTGGTAGTGTAGTGTCGTAGTGTAGTGTCGTAGTGTAGTAGTGTAGTGTAGTGTAGTGTCGTAGTGTAGTGTCGTAGTGTAGTGTGTAGTGTAGTGTCGTAGTGTAGTTGTGTAGTGTAGTGTAGTGTAGTGTAGTGTCGTAGTGTAGTGTCGTAGTGTAGTGTCGTAGTGTAGTGTCGTAGTGTAGTGTAGTGTAGTGTAGTGTCGTAGTGTAGTGTCGTAGTGTGTAGTGTCGTAGTGTGTAGTGTGTCGTAGTGTAGTGTCGTAGTGTAGTGTCGTAGTGTAGTGTCGTAGTGTAGTGTAGTGTAGTGTAGTGTAGTGTCGTAGTGTAGTGTCGTAGTGTAGTGTCGTAGTGTAGTGTCGTGGTAGTGTAGTGTCGTAGTGTAGTGTCGTAGTGTAGTTGGTAGTGTAGTGTCGTAGTGTAGTGTCGTAGTGTAGTTGGTAGTGTAGTGTCGTAGTGTAGTGTCGTAGTGTAGTGTCGTAGTGTAGTGTCGTAGTGTAGTGTCGTAGTGTAGTGTCGTAGTGTAGTTGGTAGTGTAGTGTCGTAGTGTAGTGTCGTAGTGTAGTGTGTAGTGTCGTAGTCGTAGTGTAGTTGGTAGTGTAGTGTCGTAGTGTAGTCGTAGTGTAGTGTCGTAGTGTCGTAGTGTAGTGTAGTGTCGTAGTGTAGTGTCGTAGTGTAGTGTAGTAGTGTAGTGTCGTAGTGTAGTGTGTGTAGTGTAGTGTCGTAGTGTAGTGTCGTAGTGTAGTAGTGTCGTAGTGTAGTGTAGTGTAGTGTCGTAGTGTAGTGTCGTAGTGTAGTAGTGTAGTAGTGTAGTGTCGTAGTGTAGTGTCGTAGTGTAGTGTCGTAGTGTAGTTGGTAGTGTAGTGTCGTAGTGTAGTGTCGTAGTGTAGTTGGTAGTGTAGTGTCGTAGTGTAGTGTCGTAGTGTAGTGTCGTAGTGTAGTGTCGTAGTGTAGTGTCGTAGTGTAGTGTCGTAGTGTAGTGTCGTAGTGTAGTGTCGTAGTGTAGTGTCGTAGTGTAGTGTCGTAGTGTAGTGTCGTAGTGTAGTTGGTAGTGTAGTGTCGTAGTGTAGTCGGTAGTGTAGTGTCGTAGTGTAGTGTCGTAGTGTAGTGTCGTAGTGTAGTGTCGTAGTGTAGTGTAGTGTCGTAGTGTAGTGTCGTAGTCGTAGTGTCGTAGTGTAGTGTCGTAGTGTAGTGTCGTAGTGTAGTGTCGTAGTGTAGTGTAGTGTAGTGTCGTAGTGTAGTGTGTAGTGTAGTGTCGTAGTGTAGTGTCGTAGTGTAGTGTCGTAGTGTAGTAGTGTAGTAGTGTCGTAGTGTAGTCGTAGTGTAGTGTCGTAGTGTAGTTGTAGTGTAGTGTCGTAGTGTCGTAGTGTAGTGTCGTAGTGTAGTGTAGTGTCGTAGTGTAGTGTCGTAGTGTAGTGTCGTAGTGTAGTGTAGTGTCGTAGTGTAGTGTCGTAGTGTAGTGTCGTAGTGTCGTAGTGTAGTGTCGTAGTGTAGTGTCGTAGTGTAGTGTCGTAGTGTAGTGTCGTAGTGTAGTGTCGTAGTGTAGTAGTGTAGTAGTGTAGTGTCGTAGTGTAGTGTCGTAGTGTAGTGTCGTAGTGTAGTGTCGTGTCGTAGTTGTAGTGTAGTGTGTGTAGTGTAGTGTCGTAGTGTCGTAGTGTAGTGTCGTAGTGTAGTGTCGTAGTGTAGTGTCGTAGTGTAGTGTCGTAGTGTAGTGTCGTAGTGTAGTGTCGTAGTGTAGTGTCGTAGTGTAGTTGGTAGTGTAGTGTCGTAGTGTAGTGTCGTAGTGTAGTGTCGTAGTGTAGTGTCGTAGTGTAGTGTCGTAGTGTAGTGTCGTAGTGGACTTTATAGACCAGTTTATATGGTGAGGAGGGAGAAAGATGTGACCACTGCATGTTGTATTGAGCTGTTTAAGAAAAAGCAAATGCAAATGCAAATGCATGTTGATCCAGCAGGAACTGCAGCTCTGAAGTGGGTTAGAATGAGTTTTTCAAAACACTTGGTAATGGTGCAGGATGGTTCCCCAATCAGCTCGTCTCTTTCTTTCAGTTTGAATGCAGAAGGACCATAGAGGCTGTAAAACCTCCAACCACAGCTGCTTATTTATATCATGTGTCATGTGTTTCAAATGCAGAAGACATCGCTAGAAAATTCTCAGAACAAAATATATAACTTCTTTTACTTAAAATAAACACAAGTTTAGTGGTTCAATTGGTGATTTTGCAGAAATCTCTTGCTGTTTCTCAGTTCTGTGTTATTTTTTATTGCTTTTTTTTAAACTCCATGTTTATTTTTGCATGTCTCTGATTGGTTAATCCACCTGTCAGTCACAGTGAGCTGAAATCGAGGAGACAGGATACAGCTCCAGACCCACTTTGGGAAGGGGCTTAGAGGGAGATCGCGCCGTGTGCCTGGTTGACTCCAAACAGTCCAGTCCAAAGAGCTGAAGTATTTTGGAGCTGATTAATTATTGTAAATTTGAGGTGCATATGACAGCCTTACAAAAA